CAGGGAGGAGTTGGCCCTTGGCATCTGCCACCCACCCCTGGATCAGTGACACCCCTCGCTGGCCCACTCAAACCTGATCTCGGATATCATCCCGCAGCTCCACCAGGATCTGGTTGAAGAGGGTGAGCTGGGTGACCAGCGCCTTGGTCTGCTCCCCTGTCAGAGCCCAGGTATGGGGAGGCTTAGAACTGGGCACCAGCCTTGGTCCCACCTTGGGTAATAAGTCAGCTTCTGCCACTGCTGCCCACCCTCCACCATTAAACCTCACACAGTGCTGGCTGAAAAGGACATAGTCTCAAGCAGTGGCCAAAGCTTGGGCCTCCCCAATCTTACACCCCTTGAACTTCATAGTAGCCTACTCACCTAGGATGGAGTGGAGCGCACTGGTCACTGGAGAGAAGAAAACAGGATAAAGATGTGAAGAGGGGCCTGCTATGAGAAGAGGAAGGGGACAGGAGCAAGGGGCTGGAGTCTTGGAATAAAATGGGGTGTTGGACGGTAGGGCAGAGGCGACAGGCAAGTGGCATTATTCTTTTCCCTGGGTGAAGGACCCTCTAACGGAGTTGTCAGATGGTCATGACCCAAATCCTCCTGGATCCCAGGAATGGTGATGGCAGAAGAGATTCAAATGAGCGGTGAGAGCCTCCCTGGTGGCGCAAGGGGTTAAGACACAGCACTATGAGGCTATCAGCAGCCACTGCAGCACGAGTTCAATCCCCGGCCAGGGAGGTGACCCACATGGCGCAGCAGACCTCTCCTGTCTCGCCCGCTGCTCCCCTCAGCAGTGTATTTCAGCCAGTCTGCCTGTTCTGTTCCCTACTCTGTCTCTGGTGAATCCTCTCACCCTCCGCATCTCTGGCCTGCACCCCAGCTCTTGTATGCATAAATAAATAAATCTTAAAGAAAAAAAAAGAGCGGTGACCCAAAGCAAGGCCAGGACCCCAGTAGGTTGCATTGCCTCCCAAGCTTCTACCTCAAGAGTTCTTTCCTTGAAAATTCTGACGGAACTGGGCATTTTATGCAGTAACAGCCTCTGAACATCACTGTCAGAGAGACCAGGCAGATAGATGCATAATACTCAGAGAAGTTGCTGCTGGATGGGGCCACCAGTGGAAGCTAAAAAAGACCCAAGACCCTCCTCTCAGTTAACCAAGGCCAGGCCATGCATTTCCTCACAGTTCTGCAGAATAATCTCCTCCCAGATAATTTTTTCTGGCCTTCCATCCTTCAGGCAGGATGACCTGAACAGGGAGATTTTTTAGACCCACTTCTTGGGACAGCCGTATTAATGGAGAACATAAAATCAGAGATTAAGGACGTTTGGGGTAAGTGGGTTGGAAGCCTCAGGATAGGTGAGGCAAAGGAATGGGTGTTAAGAGGAAGGTCAAGAGGATGGGAACACCAAAGACCACAGGATCTGTTAACAGGCGTCCCTGTGTTACCTGCACTGTGGATTGTCTCGTCCCCCTGGAAGGGACACTCACTCAGGGCTCCAACCTGGGCCATGGAGCCACCCAGAATCATCTTCATAGACTCCACAAAGCCCTTGATGGGACAGGAGCACAGTCAGGTGGGGAATAACTATGAACTCCTCCTACTGGTACCAACTCTGTTGCCACAAAAATGCAAATGGGTCCTCCCTCCCTGTTCACCTGCATCCTCGAATAAGCCTTCTGTCCAGTCCTAATCTCCAGCCCATTGACCTCTGCTGGGGGAATGGGGGCCAGCGCTGGGAGGCTGGCGTGCTGGTCGCCCAATCTGCAGTCCACATAGAGCTGCAGGGCAGGGCTGGGTCGGGATGGACCTCGGAGACGCAGGAGAGCTGTGTGCGTGCGCCCATCGGCCAGGCCTGCTTGCTGAAGGTTCACTGCATGGACTTTGCCATCCTCCCGTTGATACCGCACCAGCACTGCCCAGGAGGAAAGGTCAGTATGGGCACGGTCCTCCCCACCATTTCCCCCTAAGCCTTGGGTCAGCTGCATCTCTGGGCTATCATCCCTTATTTAGCAGGTCTCTCTCAACACCTTGTATGTAATAGGCGCACAATAAATGTTTTCCAAGTTGGATTAGAGACTAGAAATTTCTTGGTCTGCAATGGTATTAGATCACTCTCTCCTCTGCCAGGGCAGAAGCTAGCTCTGTACCCACTGAAGTGTCCCAGAGATCTGAGGGGCATTCTATACCACTGCTGGGACACAGAGACCTCTCCCTCCCCCCAGGCATTCCCAAGTATAGCATCTCATCCCCACAACCAGGCCTCACCCTATTATTTGGTCTCCTGAGGCACTTCCTAAATACCCGGTACGATGTGGCCCCTGGGAAATATTAAGAGGGGTCCAGCAGTGGCGATGAAGGAGTGCAAGGGAATCACCATTGCAGGAAAGGAGATGCCCACCAATCACCTTTGTTGATCTTGCCCACAACAGAGGCCTCCAGCCATCGCGTGTTGTCCTGGCGAGAGTAGAGGCCAAAAAGGACACCACCCTGCTTGGGGGGCAGGCGGAAGGTGGACAACAGGTAAATGTCCCCAGCAGCGAGCAGTGCTGTCCGGATCTTCTCTGCCACAGCTACCATCTGCCGGGACTCACCCACTGTCAGCAGATCAATCACTGGCAGGGCAGAAATTGTTAAGGTCAGAGACAGGGGTCAAATACCTGTCCTCTTTCCTGAGCCTACACTGTACCCACCCCTCAAAACTGCCAGGCAGCATGAGTTACTAAGACTGAAATTCAGCCCTTGTTGCTATCAGAGGACAAGGCATCTGTTGCCTTCCTTCCCCCTCAATATTTCCTACTGCCACCCTCTGGGAAGCAGCTGGCCTGAGGTTCGACGGGAAATATAGAAACAGCACCCTGCACACTTGAGATGCTCCCACCAGGTGGCGTAAGGGAGTCACTATGCTGATCCCAGGCAGGAGTGTCACCTGGTGCTCACAGAGCAGAAATGGGCAGGCAGTTTCTCTTTACACGGCTGGGTTTGGCTCCTTCCACATCCTAATGCCCTTCCTCCCATCCTGGGGGCTAAGCACATTGACTCTGGATGAGAACTGCTACCCACTGAGGGCTCCAGCCCTCCCACTGTCTGGCTCTCTCCCCAAGGAAATGTAGGACCCAGCTTCCTTAGCCTCCCATGTCCAGGCCAATCTGTGGTTTCCCTTCCAGCCAGCGAAGAATCTGTGCCTGTGTCATCTGGTCCCGCTATCTCTCCTACTACCATGGGCCTGTTCTGCTACCAGACCTCCAGGAGAGCCCAGATCTCTTGGTTGCTACCTGACCCCGTCCTTGTGCAACCAGAAAAGCACCCCCCGACCCGAGGGGCAGACCTAGGGGTTCACACAGTGTACCCACCTTCTAGCTGTTCTCCCAGACCTCAGGATGGCTTTGGCTGCTCACATTCCAACCAAGTCAGGCAGTCCAAGCATCCAGCACCTGAGTCCTATACCCAGGCCTTATGCGGACCCTGGCCAGTTCCCGATGACCCACCATACTGTGAGTCCACCCCCCACAGGACCATAATTTTACCAACTCTCCCCTCCTGCTCAATTTCCTGCTCCCTGTGACTAGGGAAGGAAGCAGAGAGGGGTCTAAGAGGATGGGGCTGGGCTTACCCTGCAGTTCCTGACTGGCAGATGCGAAAGTGCAAAGGAAGAGAAGAGCCAGGGCCCCTCGAAGTTCCTGCGTCTCCATGCCGCCTAGCCCGCTCACTACCCCTGGCAGGCAGGCGGCTGGGAGGGGAAAAGGCTAGGCGGAGAGAGCAGGAGAGGGGGGCGGAGGGACTGGAAGGGGGAGTTGAAGGGGGGGGCCAGCAGGAGGGTGAGGGGGGGCTGAAACAAAGAGCTGCCAATCACCCAGGAGACATCCCCAGCTCAGGGAATCAGGGGCTCTGGGAAGAGTCCTGGTGGCCTCCCTGCCTCCAGCCTCTTCCTAACCGTGCTGTCCCCCAGGTGCCTCCCTCTCTCCTGGCACCTCATTGTTGGGGACCATTACTGAATGCTACTGTTTTCTGGAAGCTACATTTGGGAAAGGCAGGAACCCCTGGCAGGGGCAGCACCAGACAGTGGGCATTATTCCACAGCTGGCATGAGGGGATGCCAAGGGAGTGGCAGAAACTAGCTGGCTATAGTACCCAGGGAATGCCCACATGGCAAGAAATTTGCTGCTCTGACAGAGCAATAAGTACTCTTTGTTAGGGTGCGGTCCCCTGGCATGTGCCTGTTGCCTCCATTTTCCCTCATTCCTAGGAAAACTTGGGAGTCTGGAGGAAGTCTGAACAGTGGTCAGTGAGGTCAGAATGAAGAAATCAGGGACCAAGAGTCGGGCACCAGGGACAGTAGACCAAGAGGCAAGCCAGGGGCGTGGTGAGACTGGGAGCACTGGGGGTACGGGCAGACAGGCCGTGACCCGGATGAAGGCGGGGGGTGGGGGGCGGCTCTGTTCCCGTTACCAAGACAACAGTCCGCGAACCCCATCTCCCCTCCCCCTCCCCAGGCCCCAGCCGGGCTTCGCTCCGGCCGCCGCCACCGCCCCTGTTTTGTTTCCATGGCGACAGGCGGCGCAGGGCCGGCTCCAAGCATAACGTGCTGTGGAAAACATGCGGCTCGGGGGACCCCCCCCGCAGCCCCTGCTCCGGGCCGAACCCTGAGGGGCCTGGGAGCAGACCAGGCCACGTGAAGATTTCCGAAAGTTCCCAGAATAGGCCCAAGCGCACAAGATCCCCTTCTCCTGGGCTGGCCGAGCCTCCACGGGTTCGGGGCTCCTCTCGGCCGAGACGTCCTGACTCTCCGAGGCGCCATGACCCTCCTAGGCTGTCGTGGGCGCGAGCCCCTCCCCCCTTCGGAAGCCGCCCGGGGATCGGCGGGCGCCCGCCCTTCCTAGAAGCCCTCCACCCCGCCTTCCGCCCTCAGGCCGCCTCCTGGGCGGAGAGAAGCTGCGCCTCCCGAACGGCCTCCCCCAGCCCCCAGCCCCGCGTCTCCGGAGGGGGCCGGCCCTCGCGGGGGAGGACAGAAGCGCGGAGGGAGGTGCTTCCGGGACAGAGGGCGGGCAAGATGGCGGCGCCCATGGAACTATTCTGCTGGTCAGGGGGCTGGGGGCTCCCGTCAGTCGATCTGGACAGCCTGGCGGTGCTGGTGAGGGGTGGCGCCGGCGCCCTCTGCCGCGCCCTGGAGGATTGGGGAGGGGGCCGAATTAGCCGATTATCCATATTTTGCCAGGCCGCTTCAGCACGGATGCAGTGAGGGAAACCGAGGCAATCAAGGAGTGTGACTGACCGGCATGGGCGCAGTGTCCCATGCCATGGCAGCCTAGGCTTTGCGCAGGAGTAGAAAGAGATGTGATGGGGGCCTCAGGAGACGGGTTTTAGTCCTCGTTTATCCTTTTACTGGCTTTGTGACCTTGGGGTGATCCCTTCTCATCTCTAGGCGCTATTTCTTCACCCGGGGTTTACTAAGGCTGGACAATCTCAAGGTTCTGTGGCTTGGTGTTCCTGTCTTTTCTTTAGCCTCCCTTTCCTCCTCTTCACTAAACAGTATTTATTGAGCTTTTTGTTTATTGAACCAAAAGGCTTATAGCCTGGCTCCGTAGAAAGAGCTTCAGAGTCAGCCAGACTAGCTCTCACTCACTTCTTCATTTAATAAACATATGTTAGGCCTCTTCCAAATACCAAAGATCGGCATGCAAAGATGAATGACTTGGTCCCTCCCCCAGACTTGTTTACAGAAAGGCAGGCATGTAGGCAAATAAATGTAATGAAATGTTGAGATGCTAAGGTATATGCAGGAACAATCCACAGAAAGAAAGAAGGCCATGGTCAATGCTTCCAAGAAAAGGGATGCACTGGTTAGGAAAAACAAGAGAAAGAGGGAAGGATTTTCCTGGTGGACTTGAAGTCACGGAGAGGTCCGTGACCTCTCTGGGCCCTGAGTTGCCCGTTGTATAATGGGAACAGTAATGTACACCTTTTTGTGTGTGAGGCAAGTACTAAGCATAAAGCATAGCACAAAGGTTTTCAACAAATGTCTGGCTAGGTCCTCAGCCTCTCTGTCTTTTGCTTCTTTCTCTGCAGACCTATGCCAGATTTACTGGTGCCCCACTCAAGGTACACAAGATTGCCAACCCCTGGCGGAGCCCTTCAGGTACCCAGTGTTCACGGGGCATGAGGAAGGGAGTGTACTAGGGGAGGAGCAGGAGACAGATGGGAATATGGTACAAATATGTACAGCTCTGTAACTGAGGACCTGGTGGGCATGCTTCTTTCTCTGTCAGGAACTCTGCCTGCTCTTCGAACCAGACATGGAGAAGTCATCTCACTACCACACAAGATCATCACCCAACTTCGAAAAGAGGTAAGTAGCTTGGGGTGGGGGAAGTCAGTGAAAAGGTCAGTCAGTTCAATACAACACACATTTATTGAGCACCAAATATATGCCAAGTTAGGTGCAGGGGACCCAGAGCTTCAAGGGCCACAAAATCAGGTGGAAGAGACACGCACATTGTTGCTTGTGAGGTGGTAAACAGCAAGCTAAGGGTTAAGCTGGGGTGCCATGGGAGGCATGGTGCCTTCTCCCTGCTGAGTGGGCAGGGAGAGCTGAATAGGCAGATGACACATGGAAGGGAAAGGGAAATAAGAGAGCAGTTGCCTCAGATTAGGCCCTTAAACAGACTTCTCAGGAGAGGGACTTCTAGGGGCCATGTTCCTTTTTTTAAGGGGTCAAGTCTGGCTGGTTATGGGGCTCAGGATGGAGGCCTTCAGCCAGGGTAGGGAAAGTTTTACAAGCAGAATGAGGCCTAGACTGTTCTTCACTCTGTCCTTGACCATGTGGCTGTGTAGGTAAGTTGTTTAACCTCTCAGAGCTGTCAACTCCATATTTGTTATAACCAAGGGGCTTAGCGAGGATGCTTCCTGAGGGTTCTTCTATCTTTCATGGTCTGGTTCCAAAATGGAACACATTATCAGAAGTGGGATCCTCTTCATTTCTACTTCCCCGAAGATGAAGAAGGTGGGAACTAATAGCAGCTTGAGAGGCACAGAGAGGGATCCTGGTAAAAGCCATTGTTCCTGACAGGACTGGGCCAGGGCCCAGTTTCCTTATTTGTGAACACAGCTTTTCCAGTTTTCAAAGGGTTTTCTCCTAACACTGCCATGCTAAGAGAAAAGAGATCACTGCCCCCATTCTGCAGAAGAGAAACTGAGTCTTAGAGAGACTTAAGGATCATGCTGAGAGGTTATTTGGGGTCAAAGCTCACTCAGGATGTGGAAAGGAGTTCAGAGGAGCAGGCACTGGAGCCTATAAAGGTGTGGTAGGCTGGTTGGAATGTATGTGTGGTGGTGGCACCTGGGCTACGGAATGAAATAGAAGAGCCAAGAGCTGCATAGTGAGAGAACAAGCCAGGGGCCTGGAGCTGGAGCTTGAGGATGGTATCCTCCTCAAGCCAGGAGCTTGAGGATGGTATCCCTGAGGTATGGTTGATGCCCCACCTGAGTCTGTGTTCCACTCTGCTAGCTTTGTGGTGCCTGGATCAGGGAAGTTATGCTAGAAAGTTGCCGTCAGCAGGCATGTTGCCAGCTTTCTGTGGAAACTCTGGGAGCTGCTCCTAGTTTGCGGCTGGGCCTTCCTTCCTCCCCCACCATGGATGTGGGACCTTCACGACCAGCAGGCTCCAAGGCCCAGGCTTTCCGCCAACAGCAACAGGCTACTGGCTGGGCCCCGGTGAGGGGCCTCAGCAGGAAAAGCTCCTTGTGCTCCTATACTGCTCTCAGGCCAGTGAGGGTGGCACCAGACAAGAGGCCTCCCTCCCTAGGGAAGCACCCAAGCATCCACCTCATGGACATTTCCTCCACAGAAGTATAATGCCGATTATGATCTGTCAGCCCGGCAAGGGGCAGACACCTTGGCCTTCATGTCTCTGTTAGAGGAGAAGCTGCTCCCGGTGCTGGTGAGTATGTCCAGACCACCCAGCCTTTGTGGCCAGTGTGGGAGGGGACCAGGCAGACCCCCTACCATATGCTAACTCAGAGCAGCATGGGGATGAGAAGCCCACCCTGTGTCAGGCAGGTATGCTGGTTCAGGCCTGCTTCTTCCCTCTAACCCCACCCCCATATCCAGATACATACTTTCTGGATAGACGCTAAGAACTATGTGGAAGTGACCCGGAAGTGGTATGCAGAGGCTATGCCCTTTCCTCTCAACTTCTTCCTGCCTGGCCGCATGCAGCGGCAGTACATGGAGCGACTGCAGCTGCTGTGCGGGGAGCAAAGGCCTGAGAATGAGGAAGAGCTAGAGAAGGAGGTACCTCTGGGGCAGGGGCTTTCGCATGAGGGGAGCCCCAAGGGTAAAGCGGGAATGGAATGCCTAGAAGGGGAGGCACTGTTCTCACAGCCTCGAGCCTACCTGTGTCCTCCCTCTAGCTATACCAAGAGGCTCGTGAGTGCCTGACCCTTCTCTCTCAGCGTCTGGGCTCTCAGAAATTCTTCTTTGGAGATGCGTGAGTCTGAATCCAGGGGTATAACAGGTGGCTTGAAAGGAGATACAGGTTGAGATACAGCTGCAGGGGCTGTGGTGGGCTCAGGCTCTGAACAAGAGGGTCCTGGGACAGACACTGGGTCGGGTGACAGTGGGGCTATGTGTGGGGCTGGAGCCTTTACAGGAGGGTGGGAGGGCTGCCAGGCACAGGAGGGGCCTTGTAGGCTGCAGGGCACTCAATGTGCCCTTTATGCAGACCTGGGATAGAGTCCCATTCAGAGCCAGGCTGGCGCCACCAAAACTGCGTGTCCTCGCCTCCCCTGCTGCCCAGAGCCCACCTCCTAGGACCGACTCTTCCTCCCATTCCATCTTTACCCTCCTGCCCCAGCTGCCCTCCATCCCACCCTTCTCTCTCGCTCCAGCCCTGCCTCCCTGGACGCCTTTGTCTTTAGCTACTTGGCCCTGCTGCTGCAAGCCAAGCTGCCCAGTGGGAAACTGCAGGCCCACCTGCGGGGGCTGCACAACCTCTGTGCCTACTGCACCCACATCCTCAGCCTCTACTTCCCCTGGGATGGAGGTAAGAGGCAGATGGGCGGTGGTGGGCACCAGCCCTGGGGAGAGTGGACAGGGATCAAGGAACTAGCCCCTGGCCCACCTTCCTTGCTTGTCCCTCAGCTGAGGTGCCACCTCCACGCCAGACACCAGCAGGCCCAGAGGCTGAAGAGGAGCCATACCGGCGCCGGAACCAGATCCTCTCTGTGCTAGCAGGGCTGGTAGCCATGGTGGGCTATGCCTTGCTCAGCGGCATTGTCTCTATCCAGCGGGCAACACCAGCCCGGGCCCCAGGCACACGCTCCCTGGGCATGGCTGAGGAGGATGAAGAGGAATGATTTGTCCTCATGCCCCCAGGACTGATTTTTCTACTGTCATGCATTCCAGCGGTCCCTGTCTCCCCATTGTTGGTACACCCAGAAATGGGTTGCCATTCCTAAAATAAACCTGCTCACTCCGACTGGGATCAGACCGCCACTCTTTTAAAGGGCCACCATCTTTCTCCTAGCTTGTGCCACGGAGGCCATCTGGGTACCTAAGCCTACCCATGGTGCTAAGCGTCTTCAGCTGCCTGTGCCCTGATGCTGACATTGCTCCTGCCTAGTCCAATTCTGCATCTCCAGGAAAGACAAAGAGTCCCATTTTGGGTCCAGCTTTTCTAGTCTCTTTCCTCACCCCTCCCCATCTTGTGTTTGTACAGACAGTGAGCTCACTCTGGGCCTGCGCCCAGTTTCCACAGGCACATAGCACACACTCACACAAGCATGCGGGTGGGGGGCCATTGGGGCTTCCAGATCTTTTCTCTAGAGGCCTCAGCCCCTGGCACCAGCTAGGGGGGGAGAGTGAGTCACCCTAACCACTGCCCGGGGCTTACGTCACTTTAGCCCTCCCCGGCCCTGCTGTGCCCCCTTTAGCCACAGACAGCATGTGAGCTGACTCTGTGCCTTTAATGCCCACGCAGAGCCCGGGGGCCTGCTTAGTATCTGCTCCATCACTGGCACTGGCGTCGCCACAGGTAGGTGTGAATGGAGTAGCCAGGTGAGATGGTCTCCAGGAAGCCCAGGGCAGGATCCTCGATGGTGAGAGGCACATCCTTAGAGGAGCTAGGGGGAGGAGGGGGTAGCTGAGTGTGACTCTGCCAAGCCCCCCTCCCGCCTGCAGCCCAGGTCCCAAGTCTGCCACTGCTCACCGGTTCAACACGACCACGACTGCAGAGCCATCGGGATGCATCAGTGCCACTGTCTCCAAGTCATTCTTCTCACTGGCAGCCAGCCCCACTCTCTGGGAGCCCTCAGGAATGAACTTGCTGTAAGGGGAACCCGCATCGTCAGGGACCCCAGTCCTGAGTACAGTTCCTGTCAGTCCTTCACCTGAGAAGTCATCCTCTCCCTGAACCCTCGCCAAAGTTCTGGCCAAAGTTCTGCCTAAGTCTTCTGGCCTTGAGCGTGCTGCTGGCGTGCCCTGGCCCCGCTCCTCGTCCACCCAGCCCCCGCATCGGGCGTCAGGCCCTCTTTAGCCACATCGGGCATCCGTGTCTCTGATACCATCCAGTCACTTCCTGCCTGGATGGTGCTGCAAGCCGGATGGGCGTGCCTCAGCAGATTCCCACCCTAAACATCTTCCTGCTTCTTCCTGTGGGTGATAGAAGCTCAGTGCAGGAGACGCTAGGCCTGGTGCAGGGTGGGGGACGCCTGCTCTCCACCTACCTGAAGTGGCCAAGGTGATAGAACATGGGCTGTTTGTAGAACGTGTCCTTGGCGATGTCCACAATGATGGGGCTGTCGACAAAGTTGCGAACCCAATTGGGCCCGCCTTCGGGGTTCAGGGCGAGGTTCCAGTCAGTCCAGCCGACCACGTGGTAGAGAAGATTCTAGAATAAGAACAGGGTAGAGATGTGCCCCACACTGGAGTCCCCAGAGAACACAAGGGACGCATGAGGGACACAGGAACTATGATGGCTCAGCCCTGTGAGGGGTAATCTGTACCCCTAGTATTGAAGGAAAGGAGAGGGAGTGTATGAAGATCAGAGGCATCACAAGAAATGTGATGTAAAATGTGATATAAAATGAGAAATGGAGGCAGGTGTAACTGCCTGAGACCCAAGCATTTGGAAAAAGGGTGATGGGATATGCGGATTTAGGAAGGGGAGCAAGATAGGGAATCATGATATCCTGAAATTTGGCCCAAAGAGCAAGTAAGCTGGGCAAAAGTTATAGAGGAAGGCCTTTCGTTAGTCTGCCAGACCGGAAGGGGTGTGAGGTGGTGTTTTGTGGCAGGAGAGAGGGGCGGCTCACCGTAATGATGCTGTGGCTGTACTGCATCCCTCGGTCCCAGGAGCCTAGCCGCACACTCTGCTCCCAGAACTTGGAACCCACACAGGCCTCTGAGGCAAAGAGCATGGTGTTGGGAAACAGGCGGTGTGTCTCCCCCAGGGTGGCTTTTGCTGGAGCCAGAAAGTCCAGGTACCAATGTACAGCGATGCCATGAACGTACTTAGCTGCCTCTGGGTCTGCCAGCACCTACACCGGGAAAGGAAAGGACCACTGGGGAATGGAAGCCACTGAACCAGCCCTGCGCAGAAGCTTCTGGAAGAGGCACTAGGGCACCTAAGAAGTGGGTGGTGGGATGAATACAGCTAGAGGGAGGAAGTTAAAGTGATACATGGGGATCCGCGAGGTCCTGGAGTTCCAGAAGAGGTCACAGCACCCTCAATACCTCAGAGGGGCTACCTTAGCACCTGGCCTCCAGGAATTGAGAGGTGGGGTAGGGATGTTACTCAATTTGGGAGCCAGTTATTTGGATACTGGATTTTTGGGTCACTAAGGTATTCATGGAGGTTCTGGGCCTTACCACCTGGGCCCAGTGGGGCAGCAGTAAGCGCTGGTCATCCAGCATGAGCAGAAGGACATCGCGGTGTGTACTATTGGCGAGGGTGGGACCCAAGTCACGGGCGATGAAGTCTCGCTGGTGTTCAGGGGTGAAGCCCAGACACTGGAAGGGGTACCCGCTGAATAGCCCTGCAGATGGCTCATTCTCGGCTGTCACTGCCCAGAACTTTAACTTGTGCTCAGCATAGGCATCCAGGAACCTGGCAGGGGAAAGGGTGTGAGTGACTATGACCAAGGCCCTGGAGCTGGGTGCAGCCCTCCCCCCAAGCTCTCTGCTAGAGGCAGCTCTGACCACCCAGCCAGCACTTGAGAAACAGGAGGCTCTAGTCTGAAAGACTCAGAAGGGAATGAAGTGAGCTGGCAAGAGCAGATCTGGAGAGAGATCGAAGGTTGGGACAGACTGGGGTATCCAAGCAGGGAGGCTGGTCCACATCCCACAGCCTTGCTGTTCCCTTACTTGACAAAGTATCTGGCCCAGGTCTGGTGGTAGCGATCCCCCGGCTGACCCTTGAGTGTCCCCTTCCCATTCACTGCTCCATTGGTCTTGAGCCAAGTGGGTGATGTCCAGGGACTGGCAAAGAGTGAGATGGGGCGTCGGGCCAGCTGCAGGGCTTGGTGAATCAGGGGTATCTAGAGACAAAGGTAGTGAGGAGAGACACCCAGAGTTGGAACATAGACAGACTGGCCCAACCAGTGTGTCAGGCCTGGCCATCAGCCCCCGCCCTCCCACCCCCAGGACACAGCAGAGGGGCAGGTTCTATGTCTCTGCAGACTGCTGTAGCCCAAGGCATCTCAGCCCCAAGGGGTCAATGCCACCAGGGCTGGAGGCAGCCAGAGTGCCCACCTTGAGCTTAACATCTTCATCTGGGAGGCTGAAGTATTGCAACTGGAAGTCGTCAGGGGTGTCAGCATAGGTGTAGGTGCGGATGGAGAAATCACAGCTGGCCATGGGCACCCGCATGATATTGTATTCAATTCCTGCAGAAAAAGGTGACCAGTGTATGGGGTCAGAATCAAGAGGAGCATGTGGGGCCTGGCCTACTGCTAGCCCTTCAAAACATGTCTGAATCAGGACCAAAGGGAACTGGGCTCTGGGGTTGGGGCCTGTGGAGCCAGGCAGCTGGGTGAAGCACAGGCCCTTCTGAGCCTGAGAGTCCCTAAGCACCTAGCAGATGATGGGTAGGGCAATCTTACCTCACTGGACAGGACCCAAACGTCAGGGTGGGTGAAAGACCAAGGCAAATGAAAGGTTAAGGAAAAGTGTGAGTTGCACTATGTCATGCCCCCCTCCTCCTTACCTTCTTCAGAGAAGTATGACCTGAGTAGCAAATCCCGGGCAGGGGGTGACAGGCCAAGGATGTTGAGAGCAGCAGCATCTGTCATGGCCCCTCCAAATCCCTTCACTTTCTGGAATTTCTGATCTGGCTGCAGGGTCAGTAGCAGCCCTGAGGACACCCACAGGGAATAAAGGATGTCAGTGCACAGGGGAAAGACTGTGGTAGTCACTGGCATGATTAACTCCAGAAGGATCCCAGCCCGGTTCAGGGGTGAGGGGCGGAGTGGTTACCTGTGCCTGCGCGATTGGCCTGGAAGCTCCCCACGCTCAGTTCCATCCGGCGCCCACTGCGTGTACTCTCATAGCGGCTGAAGGTGCCAAGGGCAGGCAGGGTCAGGGGGTCCAGGGAGTCACAGTATGTGGCATTGCAGACACAGACCACAGAACTGTAGCCAAAGCTCTTAGGGCTGCAGGGGCGGGCGCCTGAGAGGGAGGGAGCACAGCAGAGGCAAGGGCTGAAGGATGAGGCCAGGGTGAAAAGACACACGGAAGGAAGAGACTAAACCCGGTTTCAAAACTCCACTTGCTATACCCCCATCAGTCTCTGGCATCAGTCTCTCCAAAGGGTTTATTGAGCACCAACTGAAGCCCCCCACCAGTATGCCAGAAAGTCTCCAAAGGGCCATAAGGCAGAAGGGAGCCTCCTCCTCCTCCACATACTCACCAGATATCCCCGACACTGCCTGGAGCAGAAGCAACCCTATGAGGCTGGTGGCCATGATGCCTCCCCTGCGCAGGGGCTTGTGACACTCCTGAGAACAGAATGAGGAGTGTTTGGAAGGCAAGCCCCTCCCCACCCCTCAGCCACACTCCTGGCAGAGCTCAGCTGCCTGTGGGTGCCTGAGGCCTAGTCTCCCACCTTTCTCAGGATGGGACAAGTCCACAGAGCTGGGTGCAGCCCTCCCTCCAAGCTCTCTGCTAGAGGCAGCTCTGACCACCCAGCCAGGAAATCTTCTCTATCCCTCTTCCTACCCATTTCTCCCTGGATCCATCCCTCCCTCCCTCCGTCTGTTCCTCCATCAAAGAGCCATGATGGCTAGGTCTGTCATTCATTGAATGCCGGAGCCTGGCTGGCCAGGATTCCAGAAGCAACATGGCAAGACCAGTTGGGAGTCATGGTCCACTCACCTCTTTGGGAGGATTTGAAAGCTCCATCTTCTCAGTGTCACCAGATGAGAAGACTGCAGGGTTCCCAGAGCCTTGGAGGGATAGAGGATCCACTAAATAAAAACAGGGATGCAGGTGCCTGCGGTAGCTATAGACACTGGGTTAGCCCTGCGGGTTAATTCCGGTGTAATGGAGTGGATCATGTGATAACTATGAGAGTCACATGACACAGGAAGTGAGGCAACTGCGACCATACTTGTAAAGGGCGACTAGCTTCCTCCAGGCTGTTGGTGATTATAGGCCCTGTGAAATTCTGAAAGGTATGTGTGGATGACAACTTTAGGAAGAATCTAGATTAAAATCTGAGTGGAGGATTCAGTAGAGGCTCCTGAAACCCAGGGAACAGGAAACACAGCAGGCATATGCTTTCTTAAGGAAAACATTTAAAGTAACGCTAATAAAATGATACTAATAAAAGGGGTTCACTGTGCAAAACCCTGAGGCCATGGAATGATTAACACATTTGCCTTATAGAGGCTCATGAGGCTGGAGAATCAAACACTCAAGCAGATATTTATAGATAAAGATGAAAACAGTTACAGTGTGCATGGAAGGCCCCTTCGTGGTGGCAAGGTGTGCAGAAGGCATCATCCACGAGAGGAGGGTGGTTATGAACCAGCTAGGAGGATGGGCCTTGGGCAGAGCGACAGATGTCATCTCTCTGAAGCGAGGGAGTCGTTAACATGATGGCTCTCGAGGCCTTGTTTCATCATCAGATGCAGATTTATCTGTGGAGAACAAAGTTAATGTTCTTCCTTTCTCACAGGACAGGGAGATTGTGTAGAGCAGTTCAGAAACTGGAAAGTGTTGTACTGAGCTATATCCTCAGTGGACCTGAGAGGGCGGTTTGTCCATGATGTTGCCTCACGCACCTCGCTCGTCACATATGATTTAGTGGGAGTGACACACACAATTAGGACCTGACCAACTCCAGTTCTTGGAGCCTATTTCCTCATGAGGCAACACCACAAGCTCACAGGGTCCTTACTGGAATGAGTGAGATAAGCACAGTATAGAAGGCACTAGGGAACCACTTGCTTGTTGTTTGTGTCTTTTTGGTTCTTTCATCGTCTCAGTGAAGTCTCTCCTGACATTCTCCAGGCAAAACTGGTTATTTCTTCATGCAACCACTTCAGTGTAATCTCAGTGAGAGAATTGGGTTTGATCATCCTGGCTCCACCATTTACCGGCAGTGTGACCTTCCATAAATTACTTAATCACTCCAGGCCTCTGTTTCTCATCTATAAAAGGGGAATGATAACTCCCACCTCCTAGAATTGTTGTGAGGTCCAAGTATCGTGATGTATATGTCTAGGACACTTGCTTGGCATCAACTATCGCAACAAGTTAAGTCTGTGTTTATGGAGGGAACTTGGAGTTCCTTAAAGGAAAGGCTTACTCATTCTACATAGATGGCCTGGCACAGAATGAGTAGGTGACAAATTGTTGAATTGAATCGAACCATCATTATCTGCCACATCCGGACTTCCTGTTTTTCCAGGAAATGTGCAGGGCTTGTTCTTGGGGAGGAGGGCAGGTGATATCTACCACCTTACTTCCCTCCAGTTTATTCATTCCACAAATATTTATTAAGCACATACTCTCTTTGCCCCTGTCTGCTGTCCTGGGTTCAGAGCCCCCCTCACTTTCCTAGTTCCCTCCACAGGCACAGACTATCTTATTGTTTTCATGCTTCAGTTTGTAAAATTTTTCCAGAAAGGACACATTTCCTCCTTCAAATTTCCCCCAGCATGTGATTTGCCCTGGAGGCTCTACTATAAGAAGGGCTGGTATTTGCTGAGAACTTGCTCTGTGAGACCGTGTGTGTGTGTGTGTGTGTGTGTGTTGCTTCATTTTGTTCTTACCAGCAGACACTATTATTTCCCCTATTTTAAAGATTTATTTTATTTAGTTATGCATACAAGAGCCGGGGTGTAGGCCAGAGTTGTGGCGGGGGTGGGGGGGTGGAGTCTGAGAGGATTCACCAGAGACAGAGTGAGGAGCAGAACAGGAGATTGACTGAAATACACTGCTGAGGGGAGCAGGGGTGAGACAGGAGAGGTCTGCTGCGCCATGTGGGTTAGCACTCTGGCCAGGGATCGAACTTGTGCTGCAGTGGCTGCCTATAGCTTGACAGTGCTGAGATTTAACCCTTCATGCCATCAGGGAGGCCCTTCCTCCATTTTATTTTATTTTTTAAGATTTGTTTATTTATGCATATAAGAGCTGGAGTACAGGCCAGAGATGTGGGGGGTGGGTGTGAGAGGATTCACCAGAGATAGAGTGGGGAACAGAACAGGCAGACTGACCAAAGTACACTGCTGAGAGGAGCAGCGGGCAAGTGAGGAGAGGTCTGCTGTGCCATGTGGGTAGCTTCCTGGCCGGCTGGGGATCGAACTCGTGCTGCAGAGGTTGCAGATAGCTTCATAGGTTGCGTCTTAACCCCTTGCGCCACCAGGGAGGCCCCCTTCCTCCATTTTAGACATGAGGAACCTAAGATTCTAAAATGGCATTAATTGTTCCATGACTACTCAGCAGCAGAGCCTGGATTCCTACCAAGGATCCTGCGACACACGTCACGGATTTATTGAGCGCATCCGTGTGCCAAATGCTATGCTTGGTGCTGGTTATTTTCCAAAGCTGCTGTATTGGTCTGCGTTGTTTGTTTTGTATTGTTTTAAGATTGTCCCTTGTTTTTATAGAGTGCTTTACCTGCTCAAGATGAAGCCCAGGGCCTCCCTGGTGGCACAAGGGGTTAAGATGCAGCACTATGAAGATATCCGCAGCCACTGCAGCACGAGTTCAATTCCCGGCCAGGGAGCTGACCCACATGGTGTAGCAGACCTCTCCTGACTTGCCCACTGCTCCCCTCAGCAGTGTATTTTAGTAGATCTGCCTGTTCTGTTCCCCACTCTGTCTCTGCTGAATCCTCTCACCCACACACCTCTGGCCTGTACCCTAATTCTTGTATGCATAAATAAATAAATCTTTTTAAAAAAAAATGAAGCCCAAGTTGACTTCTGAAGTGAAGGCTACATGGGAACATTTCTGTGTTGTGTTCTCCAAAGGCATTGGTCAGGGGACACTGTGTCAACAATGAAACAAAATCCAGAACTCCCAGGATAGGCAAAATGGTATGGTTTTCATTTGGAGATGTGTATCTCTGAAATTCACTCTATCATCCTGGGAGACCTCCTCAACCCAACAGCCTCAGCAGCACCTCCTTTTCAGAGCAAGTGTGTTCTAACATATCCTTTACTATTCTGAAATGAATATACAGATAAACTTACACACATCATATGACACCATAAATATAGTGGCCTTTTTTTTTAAAGATTTATTTTATTTATTTATACATATAGGATCTGGGGCATAGGCCAGAGCAGTGGTGGGGGAGGGGTGAGAGGATTCACCAGAGATGGAGCAGAACAGGCAGAGGATCTACTGAAATACACTGCTGAGGGGAACACCGGGCGAGACAGGAGAGGTCTGCTGCACCATGTGGGTTGCTAGCTGGCTGGGGATGGAGCTTGTGATGCAGTAGCTGCCAATAGCTTCATAATGTTGACACTTAAGCCCTTGTGCCACCAGGGAGGCCCAATATAGTGGCCTTAATTGGAATGGAAAGGAAAAATAATGAAACTATTTTTTATTTTCATTTATTTTTTTTTTAAAGATTTATTTATTTATTTATACAAGCACTGGGTACAGTCAGAAGCGCGGGAGGGTGAGAGAATTCACCAGAGCCAGAGCGGGGAGCAGAGCAGGCAGAAGGACCGAAGTACACTGCTGAGGGGAGCAGTGGGCACAGCAGGAGAGGTCTGCGCACCATGTGGGACCCTCCCTCAGTGGTCGGGGAGCAGCCGGGAATCGAACCAGCACTGCAGAGGCTGCAGGCAGCTTCGCAACCCAGCGCTCAACCGCTGCGCCACCAAAGAGGCCCTATTTTCATTTATTTTTAAAGATTATATTTATTTATACATACAAGAGCTGGGGTGTAGGCCAGATGTGGGGGTGGGGTGAGAGGATTCACCAGAGACAGAGTGGGAAGCAGAACAGATGGATCTACTGAAATATGCTGCTGAGGGGAGCAGTGGGCGAGACAGGAGAGGTCTGCTGTGCCATATGGGCTGCTGGCCAGGGATAGAATTCATGCTGCAGTGGCTGTGGATAGCTTGATAGTGCTGAGACTAACCCCTGCGCCCCCATGGAGGCCCAGACCTTGCACTAATTTAAATGGAATAAATTAAGGTCTGGTAGATGTAAAATTAGCCCATGAATTAATAAATAATTTCAATAAGTGATTTACAGCATATGTCATTTTTAGAATACGTAATTATCGTGCTGTGAAACAAAATAAATGATAAATTGAAATGTTTAAACGTAATCTATGAGTAAGATTCAGTGCATTCCACATGTCTCCACAAATTTAATATTTGATTCTAAGTCTTGGCAATTCAATATGGAAAAGGACAGTCTTTAACAAATGGTGCTGAGACAACTGGATGACCACATGCCAAAAGATACATTTACCTTAGTCTATGACCAAAACTAAAGCAAAGTGGGTTATGATCTTAACTGTCAGAGCTAAAACTATAGAAATCCTGGAAGAAGGCATAGAATTGAATCTTTGTGAACATGGGTTGGATGATGGTCTCTTATTCTTTATATATTTTTTTAGGCTGCAATAAACATTTATCATCTCATATAGCTTCTGTGGTTCGGGAATTCAGAAGTGGCTTGACTGGATGGGTCAGATTTGAGGTTTCCATGAGATTGTAGCCTAGACTGTAGCAGTCATCAGCTTGACTGGGCTGAGCCTCTGCTTCCAAGACAAGACACTAACTAATACAGATAGTGAACAGAATCTGACTGTTGGCAGGAGGCCTTTTAGTTCCTCACCACGCCACCTTATCTATAGTGCTGCTTGAGTAATCTCACAACATGGCAGCTGGATTCCTCCAGAGTGAGATTCCTCCAGATACGAGAGATCAAGGCAGAGCCAGTGTCCTAGCCTCAGAAGTCACATATTGTCATATCTACAATATCCTATGGTGATACAGTTGGTGAAGGAATACACAGAGGTGTCAACACTGGCCACTTGGGGCCAGCTAGTAGACAACCTACCACACTGTCTGCTGGCCCCCAATATGTCATGTTGCTCCTAGATATAAATACTGTTACCCTCTCCTAAGTCTCCAAAAAGTTCATCTTATAACAGAATCTCAACATTATGCAACAGTATCTTACATATGACTCCAAAACACAAGTGACAGAAGAAAACAAAGAGAAACTTAATTTTATCAAAACAAAAAATGTTGGGTCTCCCTGTGCACAGGGGTTAAAGTCTCAGCACTATCAAGCTATCCGCAGCCACTGCACCATGAGTTTAATCCCCACCCAAGGAGCTGAACCACATGGCACAGCAAACCTCATCTGTCTCATCAGCTGCTCTCCTTAGCAGTGTATTTCAGTGAATTGCCTGTTCTGCTCCCCACCCTGTCTCTGGTGAATCCATTCACCCCCGCACCTCTGGTCTGCATCCCAGCTCTTGTATGCATGAATAAAAAAAAAAAATCTTTAAAAAACAATGGACAGGGCCTCCCTGGTGGCGCAAGGGGTTAAGCACTGCACTATGAAGCAAATCACAGCCTCAGCAGCACGAGTTTGATCCCCGGCCAGCCAGGAAGCAACCCACATGGCGAGGCAGACTTTTCCTGTCTTGCCT